TGGTAGTACCAAATGCCCTAGCCCAGAATTTTAGAGTTAATAACATTGTTAATAAGTAAATAGGTTTAGAGCGTAAAATAATTGGTCAATTATTACAATTTTTAATTGTTAAGATTCTGGATTCGGTTGATTTGGTTTTAATGCATTTTGATTTTTTTTGTCTTTATTTAGTAAGGCAGCAGAAGATTTTGACCCTTCGAGAATATATACACCTAGATCAAAGAGGTATACAATATAATAGAATAACAAATATATAAATAATAAACAGAATAAGAACGGAGGGGGGGAGGGGTAAATAATAATAATTACCCTTTTACTACTTCATTGAGGGTCTTAAGGTAATAAGCGTAATTTCAAGTGACATAAAGGCCCATGCAAAGATGACAATGCCGATATCCACACCCTTAAAAGCTTTGACTGATCTAGAATGAAAAGATAGTTTACAAAATTAAAACTGATCATGTACAATTGTTTCTCTACAAAAGCTTCCACATTATTGATCAGCTGGTACGGTATCAAGTGTACCGTTGTGAATCGGACAAGGAGAGTCACAGTCCCTTTGAACAGTCCTTTTACCAAGGTAAAAGGGACTGAATTTGGGACTTTTTTGTGTATAAAGCAAATATTTTTTAGAAGGTCAATTTATAAAAAAAAAGTAAACTTTCTCTTAATCGATCTTTAATAAGAGTAATATTGACTTGAATTAACTACTCGTCAAGAAAAAATTAGTTTAAACTTGAAGTCCTCCAGCAGACTTGCAAACTTCTCAACTAATTAAATTCATTTTTGAAACCATTTAATTTCTGCTATGTCTTTAATTCCCCTATGTCCTGGATTGATTTCAATCCCTTTAAAGGGAGTGACTGGCAATGTATGGTAGTTGAACTGAATATGTAGTATTGTGGACAAATATTTTAGGATTCATTTAAGACATTAAATAATGACGACAAAAAATGTAAACAAATTTCTATAGTAAACTAATTAGTTGTTTAGGAACAGGTTGAGAAAATAAAAATTAACACTTACCATCAAAAATAAGTAATCTCATTCAATTATTAGTTTTTCTACAGATTTTCTGGAATTTGTATTGAAAAGACGACATTTTAAGAATTTGTAGAAATCTGCGAACAAATCTATAGAACAAAAAGAAATTCTATAAAATGATGAAAACAAAATATTCGATTCTAACATTGATATATTAACAAATTTCTTTCGAGAAATATGTTCCTAAACATCCAATCAGTTTACTGTATAATTTTTGAACGTCGACTTTACACTCCAACTTATTAATTATACATTGGGGAAACGTTTGATCCGTCTCAAATGAATCCTAAAAAGATTTTCTACAATACTAGTATACTCAGGTCAACCCTTTAAAAGGACTGACATTGGAAAGTTATTTTAGTTTATAGGCATGCCCGATTTACAACGGTACCCACACGTTCACATTTTTTGCATGAAAGACAAATCTTTCAAAAGTATCGTCCTCCAGCAGACTTGCAAACTTTTTACTGGCAACTTTTAACCTCTAAATTAGATTTAACAAACCAACCCCAGACTCCTCAACTAAATAAAACCATTTAATTTCTACAATGTCTTTAATTCCCCCATGTCCTGAATTGAATTAAATCCCTTTAAAGGGAGTGACCGGCAATGTATGGTGGTTGAACAGAATATGTTGTATTGCGGACAAATTTTTAGGATTATTTGAGATATTAACTAACGACGACCAAACATGTAAACAAATTTCTGTAGTAAACTAATTAGTTGTTCAGGAACAGGTTGAGAAATAAAAACAAACTCTTATCGTCAAAAATAAGTAATCTCATTCAATTATTAGTTTTTCTACAGATTTTCTGGAATTTATATTGAAAAGACGACATTTGAAGAATTCGTAGAAATCTCTGCGAACAAATTCATAGAAAATAAGAAATTCTATAAAATGATGAAAACAAAATATTCGATTCTAACATTGATATATTAACAAATTTCTTTAGAGAAATATGTTCCAAAACATCAAATCAGTTTACTGTAGAATTTGTATTTTATTTTTCCTTCTCGTTATTTAATAATTTAATAATTAAAAAAAAAACAATTCTTAAAACGTACCAACTACCCACCAAAATTTATGATTTTGAACGTTGACTTTGCACTCAAACTTAGAAATTATACATCGGGGAAACGTTTGATCCGTCTCAAATGAATCCTAAAAAGATTTTCTACAATACTAGTATACTCAGGTCATCCACCATGCAATGCCGGTCACTCCCTTTAAAAGGACTGACATTGGAAAGTTATTTTAGTTTAAAGGCATGCCCGATTTACAACGGTACCCACACGTTCACATTTTTTGCATGAAAGACAAATCTTTCAAAAGTATCGTTTATTAAGAATTATGAAAAATTGTTTTATTGGCACAAATATCTTTAATTGATTACCTAATTGATTTATTGATAAACTAATTGATTTATTGATAAACTAATTGATTTATTGATAAACTAATTGAATTATTGATAAACTAATTGATTTATTGATAAACTAATTGATTTATTGATAAACTAATTGATTTATTGATAAACTGATTGATTTATTGATAAACTAATTGATTTATTGATAAACTAATTGATTTATTGATAAATTATTTGATTGATTAATTGATTTATTGATCATTAAATTGATTTGTAAATTATTGATTGGTTAATTGATTTATTGATAAACTAATTGAATGATTAATTGACTAGATGAATTGTAGGTATAGCACCGGATCTGTAAGCGGAGAAGGGAACAGTCCCTTTACAAACTACAATTTTCGTATGATAGATGCTGCAAGCGAGCAGAGCTTAATGGATCTAGATCTTAGGAATTATATTTGTTTATCATTTATTATTTATCATCAAATTCAAGGGATTCTTAATTCGGATTAGGTATTAATAACAACTTCAGAATATTTTATTACTAAGGATTCTTTTAATAAATTTGCTCACCATTATTAATCTTTACTCTCCACTCTCCAATCTACACTCAACACTCTACACTCTATACTCTACACTCCGAAATGCATATTTCATATTTGCAAAATATCCAAATCTCACGTTTCAGACAGTTGGCAAGTTGCAACCTTGCAAAAGATTGATATTTCTTTGCGCAGAAAGATTCAAAATTCGTAAAGTTTTGCAAAATCTTGCTGCTGTCGAAGAAAAAACATTTTCAAGTTTTAAGAAATATGATTTTAGTTTTTTATCTTTATTTATAACGGTGAAGTTTAGATATTCATAAACTTAATAAAATCTATTATACTAGAAATTCAAGGCGCTTCGCGCCCTTCTTTCTAGGCTTTTAGGGCGCTTCGCGCCCATCTTCTATTTAAATTGTGAACATGTTCTTTTTGTTTTCATTTTTAAACAAAGAAGAAAAAAATTTGCGGATTTTTAAAAAAAAAATCGCGGATTTTCAAGAATTAAAATTTTTTACAAACTTGAAATCCTTTGAAACACATTTTTTTAATTTTTATCATTCATAAACCTTCCCTGTGGTCACGTGATGTCCCACAAAAAATTTGGGCCCGATCGGTTCAGCTGTTTTGACGTTTATTGGATACAAACAAACAAACACCCAGACAAGCCAAATTTTTATACATGTCTCCATGCGCGTACCAAGACCCCCCCTCCCTCTGAGGAATTGTTCTAATATTCAGAGATGAATAAGAAAGAATGGTATGATTATGGCTAGCATAAAATAAGTTTTATCTCTTCTTAGAATATAAAACAGAGGCCTGGACCCCCCCCCCCCACCCATATAAATGGCCCATACAAGTTGAGAAATTAAAACTTTTCCTCTTTAGGTAAAACTTTTACCGTTATAAATATATGATGATAGATAAAGTTAAGATATTTTCCTTTTTATACCCTGACTACTGCAGTTCGGAAATATGTGTTTTTAATGGAGACGGCGGCCTTCTCTTTTTTAAATGGGGGGTGGGCTATAAATGGGAATTGGAGAATTGTGGACATTTAATGATCTTGCTTAAAATATATATAAAAATTCCAGAGGCGCGCCTCGATTAAATTATGAAAATCCGCCAATTAAATCGAGAAAATCCGTAACAGTTTCTCAGTGCTTTTTTATTTTAAAAGATTAATTAATAATTGCTCATTGCTTACTTGCAAAGTTCCAGGAAAAAGCTATTCCATCCTATTATCTGAAGAATAGATGTAAAGCATGTTATGAAAACAAATAAATTCAGAAAGCGAACCTCCTACGCTGGACGGAAGGATGGGGAGGAAGGGGGGGATAGAAGAAGGATGGAAGGAGAAGGAAGGAGAGGAGAGGGAGGAGAAGAAGGTGGGAGAAGGTACAGGGATAGTGAAGACTATACCCGTCCTCGTTATGTTAGTGGAGACCGTGGAGGACTTGGTGATCCTGGTTCTAGAGATGGTTATCGAAGAACTGGAAGGTAAGATTATTCATTTATAGTTCTATAAAAAGATGGTGTACCTAGAAAATAATATATAACTTTTATCCTCAAAATTGAAATATTTTGATAGACGAGCGTTTTTTTATAGCGTTTATGAAAACGTTTTATCTAAGTAAGTTTATGAGTGTACCGAATGTTAAAAAAGATTTGTACTTATCTCTGATATAATTCACCCCCTCTATGAACCTCTTGGAATTACCGATATTAAGGACATTTTTTAGATCTTTCTGTAATGACTTATAGGAAATTTTTCTCTATCATCTGTATAGATTAAGTTGAAAATATTGTACGATCATATTTTAAAAACCAAGACGAGTATACTAAATATTAGTTAATAGATTTTCTTCGGATCATATACGCATAAATTTACATCTTACTCTGAACATTTCTTTTCAAAAAATCTTTTGAAAGGAATTGAGTCTTAGCCACAATCTCGCACTTTTTGATCCCAAAATCTTTACAACCCAAAGTCGCAGACTTTAGATATTTAAAACAATGAATTTGTAGGATTAAATAAACATAAGTTTGAAATAACAAAAGTTTACACCATCAGGTTGCAAAGATATAGGGATTAGCAAATTCCAATTGGTGACAAAAACTCAATTCCTTTTTCCTCGTTTGTGACACAAACATCAAGGTATTAAGATACGCCAAATATCGGAAATCTGTATTTAATTATAGTTTTTAGATATCTTGTGCTAAGCTTTACTTGATACGACGGGATATCGTTTATTTTTGATATTTTATAATAACCATGACCCAATTCTATAAACGTGACTATTTTCATCAAATTCTTTGTTAAAACATCGAAATTAAATTTAAGAACGAACATATATGTTTTGCGTATAGCGGATGGACCGATTGGGATGAATTTTTGTGTTAAAATTCGAAATCTTTTTTTACTCATTTTTTTCTGTTCCGCGAGCACAGTCAAACGGCGGGTCGGTGAACCGGCGTTTCCAAAAATTAAAAATGTTTAATTACTTTTTTGTTAATTGAGCTACAGAGCTAAAACTTATTTATCTAAAAGCACCTTAAGAATGGATAAAACAACATGTGTCACATATGACATATGAATATTTGTCAAAAGTAAAAAATATTAATTTTTAACATTTTTCTGACGCACTTTTAAAACTTTTTTTAAATTTCCTTTAAAATCCATTAACAGGCAATGAATATGGCGGCCCATTGTAATTCTAAACTTGTGAGTTCGGTAGAGGTTGGATTATTTAGCATTGTCAACAAAAGAAATATAGTAAGGGGAAAGGAATCTAGAATACCAGATTTCTTCTCCTTGATTTTTCATCCTTGTCCAGTTTTCTCGTGTACCACTGATTAATCTAAACCTATAGCTGATCAGAAAACAAGAAATATATTTATCTTTTCTAAGATTTCCCCCAAAAATGGAATTTATTTTGGTATTTTATTAAAGAGGAAACAATGTAAATGATTGTTGATTTTAAACCGAATACAATCAAAAAGTAAAAATCACAACAAAAAATATGATTTCCTAAATGATAATACAAGACATATATAAATTCATTCAGTTTAAGTTTCAATGATTTGTTTTTATTAACCCTATTCCCGCTGGGGGGGGTCAATTTGACCCCCCCCCTGTAGTTTTTTTTACATAACTCAAAAAGTATTGGTCTGAGGCTGTTGAATCGTATCCTGGTTTTCAAGTACCCCAGCGGAGATAGGGTTAAAATCCGCGAAATTAAAAGAGAAACCTGTTTTTCCGGTATAAAATGTTACTTATTGGCCTCAGAACAAATAAGAAACTTTCTATACCCAAGATCATGAAATTGTGGATAGAAATGCGGGATGATTCTCTCAAAATTGAATAAAATTATTTTTTGAGATCTTGTTAAAATTTTTATAAAGGTTTTCAATAGAAAGAAAAATCGATATTAAAGGAATTGATTCTTTTCCACAAGCTCAAATTTACTAATCATTCTAATTTTGCACCATCATGGTGTAAATATTTTAAACTTAGGTTATTTGATCTAACAGAATTCATAGTTTGAAATATTCAAGATCTTCGACATTGGGTTTCAAAGATATTGGAAACAATATCAGCAAAAAAAATTTCAAGTGTTACTATAAACACAAATATGTTTTGTTGTTATAGGTTTCCTAAAGCAGTGTTTTAAATTATTTAAAAGAATATGTATTCTGCCTACACAAAGTAAAAATATAGCGTTTTAAAAGTTTTCCCACCGCCCCTTACTAAATAATTTATTTGGTCTGTACCGTCTATACCACACAAAATAAATTATTCAGAAACCATAGTTCTCTCAATCCATATTTATTCAAATGCCAGCTTTCTCGACATTGAAACATTGTTATTAAAGGGGTCGTTCACGTCATCACTTCAACTTAAGTGTGATTTTTTATTCACATAAGCAGTATCCATTTAAAACCTAACGAGGGTATATTTTTCATCTCAAGTTATTCCATTCGGAGAGAGACATTATTAGTCATTTCTTGTTCAACTGTTGATTTTTTTTTTATTAATCCGATCTTTGTTTGTTCAAGAATGATTTAAATATTAAAGGTTTACCAGCTGAAAGGCACAGAGTTGCCCGTGAAAAAAATTTGATCAAAAAAGTTTGAAAAAAATCTAATTTTTTAGCCTATAACATCATCCAACCACCCATGAGTGTCCACAAAAAAATCAGCCCAATCGATCCAGCCGTTTGGCCGGCTATAGACAACATATTTATATATATACGAATGTCTTGTTTTGTGAAAATAGTTATTTTTTTTAGTTGTGCAGGGTTTCTATACAATACAGGGAAACAACATAGGAATTATCAGATTAATACACTTTTAAATAAAAAACGACAATATCTTCTACATCAGATAATGCATATTTCAAGGGTATCGTTGTGAATCTGGCATTGTCATCTTTGCTTGGAAAGTTCCTTGAAATTACGCTTACAGTCCCTTTAAGCAACCTGATTAAAAGTAAAACTGCTGTTTAGTCGACATGAAGTATATTCTTATTATTATCTTAACTATTTTGTATGTTGACCCAGCCGGGCTAGCCCGGTCAGTTCATTTTACCTTTTTATAAATAAAGTAGTTGAATATCATTAGTTGATCAGAACGGACGTATACAGAGCCTTGAGTTTTGGCTAGAGATTTAGTTAGAGAGAATCTCATTAGACTTTGAGTTAAGTAATCGTTAGAGAAGTAGCGGCTAGATTTGTTACAAAAGTGGTGGCAGCGGTGGGATTTAAAATAACCCTAAATCTAGATGCCCGAGACCCCGAAAGTATTTCGGAAGAAGATTAAAGTGAAGA